GGGCGTGAGTACACATAGGACTATTTTTGAACAAAATTCGGAACTTTGAACAATAACATATCTTACAGCAACCTCGACTGTTTCATAGCATAACTTTTTCATGAAAAGTGAGAAGAAACAATCGACTTTTAGCTTGTCTAGAACTGCAATGGACATCATTGTGATATTGATAAGACATTTTCCCCTTTTCATGTAAGTTAAAACCGATTTTTTAAAAACAAAATGTTATCTGTTCATTCACTTGAAAGACAAGGAAAGTTAGTGGATTGTTGGTACTTTAATGGCATAATGTAAGTTCTATCTTCAGGACTGTACTCTCTTTTATCGGGCTCGTGAAATTCAAGGTAAAGTAATGCAAGCCCTGTCATTTCTAGATTTGAATGACCAAGCCAGAGTGAGTTCAAAATGTTAAGCTGGGAGTTAAATAGATGAGGGGTTTTTTTTTCTTTTCACAAAAAAAAGAATCCAAATCACCCATGTAAAACGTCATGCAAATGCAGCTTTCAAAGTTTCGCCCATAATTCCCATATATTATATAATATGCTTGTGTGATAGAATACTATGTGACGTAGCTATGTTGTACCTGCGTCTGTATTACTAATAAGACAGTTTGTAAATAATAATAATTTGAACAGTGTAAGTATGCCACGGTTGTTTGTGTTGTATTTTTTCACCTGTGCCAGACCGCATGCTTGGTGTGGCATTAGCATATTCGGAAGTGTGTGCAAGAATACAAAGCTGAAAGCTATAAAATAGTCGTTACGTTATGGTCATTCACAAATGTATTATTGTTTTAGTCCGCTGCTCTCACAGCTATCCTTTACTGTAAACAAAGAACAATCTCATTATACTTCATACAAGAGGCTGCTGTTGCTCGCCAATATAAACTTTCTCTTTTACTTTTTATGCTACAAACGAAACCTTCTATTTTGACTTCGTTTGTACATTTTGAGCCTGTGATTCACTTGCTTCATAATGTATGTCTCCCCAACAACGTAAACCCTGCTGGGGATCATAGAACCCTTTCCCCAGTCCAGTGCATTGAAATTGAATATTTTCGAATATTACAATTTCATTAGAAAGGTGAGTGCGTGTGTGGCCGGAGGGGGGGGGGGGGTAAATATCTACATAAAACACCGCCTTCTCTCAATCTGGAATTTCAGAAAGTGCGAAGTCATATGTTTTGGTTCAGTTGACTGTGTGAATAAGTCTTTCATGCAGATTTCTTTGTCATTTGTTATAAAATGTGTATAGCAGACAGCGGCCAGAGTTTTTTTTTATATCTAATTAGTCAGCCTGTTCATTTTTAATCAACAGTATGGAGGCTTAACCGTGGCCAAAGAATGTTCATACAAAGTTGTATTCATTTAGTGCTGTCGAGTCGATGTTGTTTGTTTGAATAAGCTTGGGCGTGATAACGCCCACGTTGACTCTCGAGTCAAAGTGGTTTTCCATCATTCGTTTGTCCAGATTTATATTCTCAGACGACGTGGCGCAGCTGGCGTCCCGAATCATGACTTTGTGCCTGGAAGTTCATTTACAATGGCATGCCGCTGATTTTTTTAGAAGGCTGTGTTAATTCCCTAACATTTTTCATTTATTGACAACACACAATGCCATACGATTGTGTTGCACGTTCATGCCCCTAGTTTATCAGTTAGTTTTGTGACGGTCTGTGGATTTTAACTAACACTCTAACTTTGTTGAGTATATTCAGGAGTGAAAGACTCACAAACTTTTGTTTTTGAATCATAGGTGTGTTTTTTTATTTCTCATTATCTTAACCTCGTTGACTCAATTCATTCTGTTGCGGTTCTGGAGTACGGCTCTCCCTGTGTTAGCAGTGTTGAGTTCGATTCACACGACTTGGAGTCGGCTTGAAATTTAGAAACGGCGTTTCA